AGTTAAGCATGTGAAAGTCCTACAGTCTACCCACTGTGCTCGGCGAAAGCAACCACCACCTGTGAGACGGCAACGAGGGTGGAGTGCATTGGCGTGAGGAGGACTTGCGCAGCACCAATCCTCCCCGCCCTCCCTTCTTTGCATCCCCAACCTATTCCAGCGCTGAGATCAAGGTCGAACGACTGGGGCAAGAGAAGAGCTAGACGCCACTGGACGCCACTGGCATCTAGCACTTCTCATTCCATTCGGTTTTAGCTGCTGCGATACCGGTGTGAACTGCAGGAGCTCGAATACCCTGTTTATTTAGGGGAGCTTATAACTCGAGGCAATAGGTCCATCGCATATGATTTTCCGTTTCCACATGGAGAATCAAGTCTATTTTAGGCTCTTGCTACTGGTGGGGATTGCCGGTTCTGAAATGAACTTCAGCGGACAGTCGTTTTAGGCGAAAACATGCACCAGGAGTTTCTTGGTCCATCTGCGAAGTAGGCCACCTCACATGAGGTCATTTCTAAGAAACCAAAATCGCTGAGCTGGAAGAGCATTAACTATTCCGTCTAGTCCACCGATTTAAGAATCTCAGGAAACACTAACATCATCGTAGCTCACTTTAATTATGTTGGCCTCAGTCCTAGTCGTTAGTACTGTGGCTTTCACAGAGTCCGAGTCTCACCTTCCACACCATGGCCTTATAAGCAGAACGAATGGTGTCTTCACCGAGATGCTCTTCTCCAGACTTTGGGATGATAGTCTTTGCAGTACTCAAGAAAAGAGATGAAAGGACAGTAGGATGGTGCCAGAGGCGTCCTCTATCTCACTCTGCAGCCAGTCCGTCCGGCGCGGCCCCTTACCTATGCCTCCTCCGGTTCGCCCAGTATCCCTGTCAGTCGCTGCTCGCGCGCGTGTGACTGCCTTCGACTCGCCGACGCCGTGGCGCCGATCGATGTGCCCCTTTTACCGATTGGCGGAAGTCGAAGGAGCCTGAGGAGCATACACTTTGACTGCCACCTGCCTGGCGAGAGCGCTTGCTACAAATGCTTGCTGGGCTGTGTGTGCACACACCCTCGTCTCAGAACAGCCTGTTCATCTTACGGTCCTCCCTGCCTTCCGACTTGCGAAACCCTCGATTTCTCGACTATCATACTACGACACAGCCAGTGATGAAGATAAACCAGACCCCTTACATTTCTTAAGACGCATGGTGTTGCTTTAAACGGATCCGAATTAGCTGCCGACCAGCTGCTGAATTGTATTCTGCACAAAGCGCCGCCCGCTAATGACTGTCTTCTGGAAACATGGTTTCTAGAGAGAAAATGCAAAAGAGGACGACCAAACTAGTCGACGGACCAAAATCCCTACCTCAGAGGAGACGATCGGGACAGTCTGCTTCTGCAATCACCGGCGCGGCCGCCTACTCGTGCCGCCTTCAGTACGTCTCACGTCCCCCGTCGACTGATGGCTTGAGCCGCGCTACACTTAACACTAGCGTAGCGAGGGTCCGAGGTCAATCGACGCTGAGCCCCTCGCTGATTGGTTACAGGTGGACAAGGCCCAAGTGCAGGCAGGGCCTTCGCGCTGGGGCTAAACGACTGTCACTGGGCTGGCGAGACGACTTGTCTACCGCTCATTCGTCTCAGTAAAGGCTGTCCAAAGAAATGTTCTCCCTTAATCTTGGTTTGGGACTCCTCGAGTTGTCGACCCTAGCACCTCAAAAAGGCGTCTCATCGCCCCTACAGACAGAACCAATCGAGTATCTGATCACGACCTTTAACATCGACGAAGAGAGCGACACTGTGCTTTCGTTTGGCGAGCCCAGCTGGAGTTCACTAGGTTTGTTGTCGGCTACTTCGTAAAATGGATCTTTTAGATGATCTCCACTGTTCATCTTAGTTATCTTCTGCTAAGTTGTCTCCAGCATTTTCTGAGTACCTTGTAAGTCCGTGTAACTTTTCAGAGAACCATTTAGCCTTGATGCATGCATTTGTTGGCTAACCGGGTCGGACAGTGGGCTGGCGAGAGGGAAGAGAACGTGATGTCGAATGTCGCAGCGCATATTCCTCACTGCAAACAGTCTGACATGCTTAAGTTTATTGTGGCACACCGAGCTGACAATAATAACGGATGAGTGGAAAAGTAACTTGATTTCTCCAAGGACTGACCTTTTGGGAGTCATACGCAAACACACTGGAAATCACACCACGTCAAAGTCGTCGGCGTATGATGTGTTCTGATTAGAGAACGAACACAGATGTTCCATTTTGCCTTGGAGCTCGTCGGGAAGCATTACTGAAAAAAGACAATGCGGACTGGGGTGAGCGTTTCTGCTAAGTTGACCGTCGTCTGTCGTCCAAAACCATTACCCGGCAGACCGGATCGTGTGAATTATCCGTAAATCGCTGTTCTATCCTCCGTTGTCATTGTTGATAATGCCTTTCGAGAATCGCTCGCCTATGGCTGCGCGACCACCCATTAGAGCCCTAAGCAGGTCAAATAAAACGACCCCACTCATTTGGACAACCAGATCAGGCGGGAACGGAGCACTCCCAAGCACAGTTACCTGTGTCCAGTGCGTGATCGATCTCGTGAAATGTTGGCTGAAATTCTGAAATGTGTTTTCGATTAGGAAGCATTACTTAGGTGGGGTTGTAATATTGATTAGCATGTAGCATAATCCTATAGCATTTCGGACTCGCCAGGATGTGGGCTTTTGGATGCACTCCTTTTTGACCTCCTGCAGAAACCGCGATCTGCAAAAAATGACTATTTAAGTAGAATGCATTTTTCGTATTGATTGTCGATGGTCTAACAAATTCAAATGCATTTTATAGAAAATGTGCCCAAGAATATGCCTTCTTTTACTCGTTCAGTAGAAAATCACACTGTCTTCATATTTTATACCTGAAGAAAGTGTATATCTAGGTTTTAAAAAAGTTTCTAATTATGAGATTTTCAAGACCGTGCGATGTCCATATATACAACATCGCACATTTCCGTTTACCAAGGCTTCTCATGAAATGCACAACACAGTCCGGATCCATTGCAAAATTTTATGAACTCTATGTGGTATCTTCTTGAATACATAGACAAATATATGATTTTCCTTACGCGGAAAGCATGCACCGTGTAAACTGAAATCGCTAAACGCTAGTGCAATGACAGATCTGGCTCAAAATTATTCGGAAATTGGGAAACTTTTTCAAAATCTAAATATGCACTTTCTTCGGATACAACATGGGAAGACAATGTGATTTTCTACCGAACGAGTAAAAAGCATACTTTTTGGGCACATGTGGTCTTGCATGCACGGACACCGCACGGTCTTAAAAAATTTCATAATTAGAAATATTTATAAAACCTAAATATACACTTTTTCGGGCATAAAATATGAAGACAATGTGATCTCCTTCCAAATGAGCAAAATAAAACATATTTTTGTGCATGTTTTCTGTGAAATATATCTGAATTTATAAGACCATTGAGAATCAATACGAAAAATGCATGGTATTTAAGTAGCCATTTTTTACCGAGTGTGGTGTCTGCAGGAGGTCAAAAAGAGGTGTATTCAAGCCGACATTCTGACAAGTCCGAAATGTTATAGGATTATGCCACATGCCAATCAATATTACAACCCCACCTAAGTAATTCTTTCTAATCGAAAACACATTTCAGAATTTCGGCCAACATTTCGTGAAATCGGTCACGCAATGTAGCTTGCTCATATGATACTGTCACAAATGCGCGGTTTTTAACTCCGCACTCATTTTTTCCCAGCCAAATGGAAGTTGTTGTTGTTGTTTTTGGGGGCGTCGAAACGGGGCGTCGAAACGGGGCGTTTTGCCCGTCAGGCACACGGCGCAGTCACAGGACGTTGTTTTCCTTTACTCTCTCAGTCAGGTGGGTCGCGCTCGCATGGGCGTTCCAGCACCCGGTGCGTGCGTGTCAGCGCGCGGGCCGCGCGAACCACAATGTACCCACACGCCCACTCTCGGCCGACCGCGCGACACTGTGGACCGAACGTTGGGCGTCTCATTGGCCCTGCCATATTCGGTATAGTGTGGCCTAAACCATACAGTAAACCCCGGGGGGTACAAAGCTTGTCTGTAGGCCCCGTAGTGAGCTGTCTGACCTGCTCGCCGATGACGCATAGGGAAACGGCCTTTGACGAAGGATATCCCGAAGAATAAACAGTTCTCGCTTCTGACGAGCTAAACAGTCGCGCAGCACCTCAGGGCGTGTCTGGGCGCCCATCAGTCAAACGAGTTGCCTATAAAAAAGTGCCTAAACCACCACAGCACCATCCTGGCTGGGCGAATGTTGTGCTCACAATCCGGCAGGGCTTCACCCGTCTACGCGCGACACAATCCTGGAGCGCTGGACTGCCAAGGGGTGGTTACCTCTGAATTCAAAGCCCACTAAACCGCGTAAACATAGGCAACCGGCCTTTCAAACGCTCGGCAGCAATTAGTTATGCAGAATGGTATTACTGACAAAGACAAGGGAGACTGAAATGGCCGCTTCTGCCTTGTTAGCCGTCGTCAGCCAGTCATACCCAAGCCCGAAGTGTGAAACACCTGGGACTCAATCCCGAGACCCGGTGCTTAGAAGTCCAACGTCACTAACCACTGAGCCACGGGCTCGTTGTCCTGCCGATTACGATCGGGAATATACAATGGTTACAGTGGTTAGAGGCGTTGGACTTATAACCAACAGGTCGCGGGATCGAGCCCCAGGTGTTCCACGCTTCGGGGTTGGGCACGACTAGCTAACGATGGCTAATAAGCCAGAAATGGCCGTTCCAGTCTCCCTTGTCTTTGTCAGTGATACCATTCTGCCTACATCCTGCGCCGCTGGGCGGCTGCTGGCGGGACTCGAGAGAGAGAGAGAGAGAGAGAGAGAGAGAGAGAGAGAGAGAGAGAGAGAGAGAGAGAGGCGAGTGAGTTCCGTAAAAACGATCGGTGAGCGCCCCTCTACCAATCATTCACGAGTTCTGGTCGGATTTGTCAGAAGTCAATGCCACCGAGAGGATACATGTATGCTTTTGTTGTCGGTGGTGGTGACAGCACAAGAACAGTTGTACCACCACCACCACCACCACCACCACCACCACCACCACCACCACCACCACCACCACCACCACCGACGACGACGACGACAGCAGCAGCAGCAGCAGCAACAACAACAACAACAAAATCACAAATCCTGGGATTTTGACGAGAACTCAGTTTAAACAAAAGGGACGAGAAGGGTAAAAGCGCAACTCACTTGATAGCCTTGGTAGATATACAACTTTGGGCGTAAGAAAGAAGTGGTCGGTCATCCAACCTTCGTACGGACCATGTTAGGACGTACAAGATAGCTGACAGAACTGACGACGCACAGCGGGTATGGAATTGTATGCAATATTAAGTGGAATGCTGAAATATGGTGTTAATGTGAAAGGATTGCTCAATTGGGATGACGATGGCGGTAGGCGTACAGCATGAAGAAAAAGGATCTTCTAATTTAAAAAAAATCCTTAATTCCCGAATACTTTTTAACCCACTAACCAATGCAAATGCTTTTAAGGTTCGAAAACTCCAACTGTACACTTTTTATTGAAGGGAGATCATACATTCTCTCATGCTATTAAGACGGTTCCATCTAGCGCCCATTAATTTTGCAGTGCATATGGACTACATTGTATGCTTGAAAAGGAGCATTAATAAACAATCAAATATGTAGCGAGCAGCCATCATGGCCGGTCTGGCGTCATTGTTTCAAACCTCGCTGCCTCAAGGTCATTCATCTTTTGCAGTTAGCCGTTACAGACGCGCTGACCTGAAGTCACACAAGCGACAGCTCGGGCATACCTGCGTCCACACAGCCGCAGAGCCCCCTGCAACCGCAACCTAGGCCACTTGTACACCACTTGAGTTTGGGGCCCACCAGCCTACAAAATCGGCTGCCACCATTGTCGCAGAGACTCTTAGGCATGACTGGACGCGGTCAACACCAGCCCTGGCTTCGCCAGAGACCACTGCCGCCTGAGAGGACAACTTCGGGTTCTGTGCACAATAAACCCCTCATTCTGATGCCTTCTGTCTTTTCCTTCAAACATGGGATTTGACTAGATGATTGTAGCGCCCTGAGTTCACACTCCCACAGCTTAGTTGCTACAGATACGATGCTACCCCCAAAAAACATTTCACTGTCTTCAAAAATCGCCTGATCACAAGCTTTGTCGTAGCCAGAAGAGAATAATTTACCGAAAAATGACTATAAAAAGGAATGTCTTGTGTATGATTTCTATAAAATAGATTTTGATTCATAAGTACATTGTGAATGAGTGGAAGATTCGCACTGCTAAAGTTGCCATCTTTGGCAATTTATTTTTGCAGGTGTCAGGAAACACGCACATTCGAGCGCCAGCATCCTGGCACGAACTAAATATCATGGGATTACGCTGCAAGTTAAGCAATATTCCAACCCCACTCAAGTAGTCTTTTTTAACTCAAACCTCATTTCAGGATTTCAGTTAATGTTTCCTGAATCGCGGTCGCCTGCTGCATGCCTACAAATGTGCCTCGAACGCGGAAACACGCACTTTCTTAATGCTCATGGACTTCCTTGTGGGGTAAAAACGCCGCCCATGTTCTCCCGATATCCGCTGATGGCAGTCATGCAGCAAGTTGCCAAAATTTTGCGGTATTTGCAGCATGGATTAGGAAATATTTTGATCTTAAGAAGTGCACTCCTTATTAGGTGCCGCTCTCTAAACACATTAAGCTTACTGCGTGCTGCAGTAGACCACATTCTCAAACCCTATGTACGGCTGATGGCGAAGCACTTGGGAGTTTGACTGAAACCCTAGGACATAGTTTTGGTCGGAAAGGGTTGTTACCTTGGGGTTGTGCTACTGCTTAGAATGCAGTGTAACTTCCAGGTTAATTTCATACGCGCCAAGATGCTGGTTTTCGGGTGAGCACCTTTTCTGCAGACGGCAAAAATCGCGCTTGCTGAAAAATACCAACTTACTTAGGATTGAGTGTTTTCGTTAATTTTTGATGCCTTTTTATCAGCAATCGTCGTACTTAGGCGGCGCGCCAAAAAGGCTACTTTTGTCTTTAGGAGTGCAACAGGCCAGACGCAGACAGCTGTTTCACGGCGGTTGCCGATTATCAGTACGTCATAGACCATTTGAAGTGAGGTGTATAAGCATGCTAAGTAACCGTTTGACCCTCACCACATGTAATACTTCATATGACCTGCTGATGATCGACAACAATCGTGAAGCAACTGTCTGCTTTTGGCCTGTTACACTCTGCGTGACCGATCTCATGAAATGTTGGCCAACATTCTGGAATGCGTTTCCGATTAGGAAGGATTACTTAAGTGGGGTTGTAATAGTGATAAGCATGCATCACAATCCTATAGAATTTCGGTTTCGTCAGGATATCGGCTTTTGAATGCACTTCTTTTCGACCACATACAGAAACCATACTTGTTAAAAACTTACTACTTAAGTTGCTCGCATTCTCCCAATTAATTTTCAATGGTCTTGCAAATGCAAGTACATTTCATAGAAACCATGAACAAAAATATGCTTTCTTTAAGTCGTTTGATAGAGAATCACGCCAACTTTACATTTATACTCGAAGAAGGAGTATAATTAAGTTTTAAAAAGTTGTCTAATTGTCGAATAATTCGGAGCCTGATCAGTCGTTGCTTTAGCGTTTAGCAATTTCATTCCACAAGGTGTATACTTTCCGCGTAAGGAAAATCATATATTCCTCCATGCCTTTAAGAAAATATCATCTAGTGTTCATAAAATTTTGCAATAGATGCGGGCTGTGTTGTACATTTCATGAGGAGCATTGTTAAACGGACATGTTCGATGCTGTATGCATGGACATCGCACGGTCTTCAAAGTCACACAAATAGAAACTTTTTTAAAACCGAAAGATAATTTTCTTAGGGCATAAAATGCAAAGATTATGTGACTTTCTACCAAACGAATAAAAGAAAGCACATTTTGTGCATATTTTCTACAAAATATATTTAAATTTATAAGGTCATCGAAAATCAGTGTGAAAAATGCTTGTTACATAAGTAGTCATTTTTTAACAAGTGTGATTTCTATGTGCGGTCGAAAAGAAATGCATTCAAAAGCCGATATCCTGGCATGTCCGGAACAATATAGGATTCTTCTGCATGATAATCAATATTACAACCCCATCTAAGTAATCCTCCCTAATCGAAAACGCATTTCAGAATCTCGGCCAATATTTCATGAGATCGGTCACGCACTGTATGTGGTATGTGTCCTATGGCACAGCGTTCGTTGTCGTCAGTAGCAAGCTGGCGGGCGGACAGAATGGGATCGAGTGAGAGCCCAATCACAACAGTGAGGGTCAAACGCTCACTTGACACTTTCATCTTTATTTAGTAGAAAATCACGGCTGTCCAGACTTTTATTAAATAAAAAAGTGTGCAAATGTTTTATCATTCACCATACAGGCAGCACAAGTGGAAGCTTCTTAATTGCCTTAGAAATTAGTGCGCTGACTTGAAGTCGGTCTTTCGAGACAAACCTATCCAGGCTCGGTCAAAAAGCCAGTATATTTGATCGCGTAGCATTCATGAGCTGCCAACAGGCAGTCGGTAATACACAAACGCTGCGTTCAAAACGGGCCACGGAGTAGATGCGCTGGACCAATAGGGCGGCTGGGTCGGATTCTAGTAGGCGTTATCGGGAATGCACACTCATATCAAATGTCAACATTCGGGGGGCGGGGGCAGGCATATTCGCCGGCTCACGTCAGGCCAACGGGGATCCCTGCCTCTTCCTCATTATTGTTGTGGGTCAAAGTCCTGATCAAGTGTTTGTTCTGGACCAGAGGGTGTGATGGTACACCAGAGGACGAGAATTCGCCCTGCCAGCCACATGCGCCCCCCCCCCCGCCTCTGGTCTTCTTGACACCGTCTTGACGCCGGATACGGGTTGGGGAGGAGAAAAGCGTGTGTAGATGCTACGCAAGTCTACAATCACTATAAACTAATTCAGACACTAAAGTCACCTTGCCTGTTCTCACCCTCCTGTGGAGCACACGGTGGACTTTGTCGGTCACGACGGTCGAACTCTCGTAATTCAACAGTTGTTAGTTACAATCCTGGTTAGATGTTTGTTGCAGACCAGGGGGGTGAGGCGGTACGCCTAGGTGCGGGCCCGGCCATGCCAGTCACCTGCGCCCTCTCCTGCCCTCGGTCTTCTTGACTATGTCTTAACACCGGACCTAGTCAGAGGAGGAGCAGGAGGAGGAGGAGGAGTAGGAGAAGGAGGAGCAGGAGCTGGAGAAGGAGGAGCAAGAGCAGGAGAAGGAGAGAAGGAGGAGGAGGAGGAAGAGGAAGAGGAGGAGGCGGAGGCGGAGGACTGAGAGAGTCTGAGAGTCAGGCAGCAATGGCTCCTTCTTAATGTGGCCCTTGTGACACTCCCATTCCGCGGGGATGCGAGGCGGGGCGTGGCAGTACGCCCAGAGGCGGCTGCGGCCGCGCCAGCCGTCACTCTTCTCGTCATTGGTTAAAATCCTGGTTAGTGTTTGTTGCGGACCAGGGGGTGAGGTGGTGCGCCTAGGTGCGGGCCCGGCCATGCCAGTCACCTGCGCCCTCTCCTGCCTTCGGTCTTCTTAAATATGTCTTAACACCGGGCCCCGTCAGAGAAGGAGGAGGAGGAGGAGGAGGAGGGAGAGCGACAGCTGCTGTGTAAGTCTACTATCATTATAAACTAATTCACAAACAAGCCACTGTTCCTGTTCTCACCCTGCTGTGGAGCACACAGTGGGCATGGTCCTTCACGACGGTCAAACTGTCGTAATTGGAGTAAATGACGGAGGCCCTTGAAAACCCCATTTGAACGATACAGGTCTGCATGAAAAGCATTTGATTTGCAAATATTTACGGGCATTCTTAGTATGCAAAATGCATAAAACTGCTAGTGAAACGAAAGTGTTCAAAGGTGGAAAATTTGTAAAATAACAGCGAACAACACATTCACGGCATTTGCATGCATTATGTTCATGAGGCAATCAAGTTTTTTTCCCACTTATGTAAATTTGTCAAAACATCCAGTAATTAATTGAACCTGGTAGTCATCTGGTTGATTGCAGATGGACTGCTTAGGAAATCCTGCTTGGGCAGTCAGCTAACTGTACCAAATTTGTTGGATTCCATGCGTTGCAGTAGACTGGGTGATTAACTTCCCCTAAATATGGTTAAAGTCACGACTAGACCGGAGTCCGGCACACATTATCGGGAATGTGCACCCATAAATGATGCCAGCAACCTGGAAGTGGTGGCAGACAAAGTTACTGGTTTACGCCGCGCCAACCAGGATTCCCGGCACCCCCCGTCCCCCATTTGTGTTGTGGCATAAACTCCTGGTCAATGTCCGTAAAAGACTAGGAGGTGTGGTGGTACGCCTAGGTGCAGGTTTACGCCTTGCCAGCCACTTGCGCCCACCACCACCTACGGTCTTCTTGGCTCAGTCTTAACACCGGATCCAGGCGCGGGAGGAGGAAGAGGAGGGAGTGCGGTAGGCGCTGCGCAAATCCGCTATCACTATAGACTTGTTCACACACAACTCACCGTCCCTGCTTTCAACCTGTTTTGGAGCACAAGGTCGACATAGTCGAGGTCGACGGTCGAACTGTCGGTACGCAAACGTCAGTAGGGTGAATAATATAACATTAGAATGCCATTAATTACCCGTTGTCAGGACATGGAAATAAAGCGGTTATATCGCTGAAGCTGGTAGATTTCAGTTTAGATATTCTTATCAAATTTTGGGCCAAGTCGCCAAGTTAGCACAACTAATTTCTTAAGAGATTAAAAATCTGGAAAATAGAAGATGCCTCTCGGTTATAAAGGGGTTTAGGCCTTCTCGTTTGAGTATATACCTGACTTGCTACAGGATTTAGTTTGGGGGTCTTCAAAATGTAGGCTGTATACTTCTCACTTACCCAGAGAGGTTACAAAGTGCTCATACGATTTTGTAATGGACTTGGATCGCGTTTTTACTCCGGACTCACTACTGTCAAGCGTTCAAATATGGTCACCGGAAAAAACCATTCCAACTTCCCAAACGTTCTCATTATTACGACATTTATTAAAGGCAGTCGATAGCCTTTCTTCAGGCTGAGCACAAAAATTAATTTTACGCACATCCTACCAATAGAAGACAGTTAGATTTATACGATAATTACAAATGACTGGCAAAATGCGTCCTAATTAAGTAGTTGTTTCGTAAGAGACGCAATTTTTGCAGGTGAATGGGACAATTATCCTCTGCGTCTGGCGTCCCTGTATTATCTCACAATGTTATAGTCTCATTTAAACAGTCCTTTTTAACCAAAACCATATGCTAGGGGTTCAGTCCATTGCTCGCCACCTGCGGGAAATTGGTCTATTTGATGTTTAAAAAAAACGAAGTAAAACAGTTTCCTCCCAGTCCTTTCGTCCCAACAGATGTTTCGTTTGTTGCGCTCATGAATTTTGGTGCAGATTTCCGTGTCTGAGTTTTTAACTCTATTTTTGGCCGCCAGGCAGCTTCTGTTCATTGCCTAACCTCTCTCCCCCTCCCCCGCATACCTTCTTGCCAGTTGAAGTGTGTTTGTGGTGTTATTGGCTGACCGTGGCTCGTAGCTCCGATTGCCTTCGCGCCCATGCTCTCCTGTTGCCGCGCCACTCCCCTCCCCTCCCCCAGAGCAGCTGAGAACCCGGCTCGCGTTTCCTATTCACGCAGATACTCGCCACAAAAACCACTAAGATTTTCAGAAGCAAATTCTCCCGCAGTGGACAAAAAACTCTGTGAAAACTTGGAAGTGCGGGTTTGTTGCGCCTTACTGGGCGCGTGTTTCTGGGTGTGAGGGAACCAGGGGGTCTGAAAGCCTAGGCTAGAAGTGCGTCTACAGCCATCATCAGGCTCTCATGAGGAGATTTCATCAGGTGAGCCCTGGGAGCTCTGAATCAGCCACCCCACGGCCTCACACCAGTTTTGTGGAAATTGCTGTGTAGTGGTAGAAACAGTCGGATTGAATTGCATATCAGAAGACGAGGTGGCAAGCATACGTAGCTTTCGATAAATTCTCGTCGGGCCAGTACAGTTATATGAGAACGGGGTAGAAGAAAAACATGTCAGCGATAAGAAAAATCGATAAAAGTTCTACTTAAAACACGGGCGGGGTGTGGGAATGTGTGGGGGGGGGTGGGTAATAGCAGTCATTGTCAGGGGCGGGGTGAGAGCGGAAGGGCTCGAAGTGTAGCAGCGTTAGTCGACCTTCGACCACTGTAGGCGCGGAGCCTGAACGTGGTTCTTCTGCGCGCATAAGATTGGCTTTCGTAGCCTAATGGCGGCTGCTTCCGCTGTCGCTAACAGGCGCTGGCCTAGTAGCTTAGGGTAGTTCGATGGGACCTTATAAATTACGCGAAAAGCTTCGTTGGGGTCCACACGATGTCCGGAATCGACAACATGCGCGAGAATGGCGCTGTCTATTCTCCTAGTTTCACCTTTTGCCAGCCATGCGGAAAGGTGCTCGCGTATTCTCTTGGATAAGCGCCGACTCGTGCGACCAATACAACCTGCTCCACAGGAGCAAGTGAAGGAATATATGCACATTGGAGTGGTCTGCGGTGGCAACTTATCCTTACCTTCTCCGCGTAAAATCGGATTAGTAGAGAATGCTATTTGAACCCTTGCTGCTGGGAAGGTTCGCGAGAGAGCTTGATCAAAGCGTCTCCTTAGGAGTTCACTCGCGGCGTCCCCTTGGAAAGGGACCTTGAGGAACAAAGTCTTCTTTTCGGTGGTCGAGGTGGCGGTTTTGATCGGTCGTTCAGCAATATTCTTTTCAATAAACCTTTCAGGATATCCGTTTTCGCGAAGGAAGTCCTGGATTTTTCTGAGCTCCTCCTCGATGCTATCTGTTGAGCAACTTTTTCTTGCTCTTTGTACCAGACATCGGATTAGATTTCGTTTTTGTTGGAGGGGTACGGAACTGGCAAAGTTCGTGTATTGTCCAGACCGGGTTTTCTTCCGATGGACGCTTCTTCGGACACTCCCGTCAGGTCTCCTGCTTAGAAGAACATCAAAGAAAGGGAGCGAACCGGCCGTTTCCATCTCCAGCGTGAATTTGATCGACGGATGTGCCTGATTTGCCGCATCTAAGAGGGTTGCTACATCGGTTTCTGCAGTGGCAATGGCAAAGATATCGTCAAAATAGCGACCGTAGTGTTTAAGCTTATCGATCTGTTCGCTTAGTTGGAATTGCATATTCTTTGAGCCTAGCACAGCACCCACCTCCCTCTCTCCTCCTCCTCCACCTGGACCGACTGTCACGACAGACTCAAGAGGACTGGAAGCAGGAGAGGACGCAGGTGACTGGCAGGGCGAAATCCGCACCTAGGCGTGCCACCACGCCCCCTGCTCCACAACAAACACTTTGCCGAAATTGTATACCACAACACAAATGGCGGGGAGTGGGGGTGGCATTGATCCCGATTATCGCGGAGTCAGCCGACAACTGAGTCTGCCACCACATCCTAATGTTGGTATTAGTTAGGGGTGCGCATTCCGGATAATGCCTGCCGTTGGTTCAGCGCATATACCGCGTGGTCCGTTTTAGGGGCAATGCAACGTTTCTAGCCGTGGCAGTGAGTCTTTCGGTTTCATTACCTGACGCCTGTTGGTTGCCTCCGGTCTGTCTGCAGCCCCAACCCCAAGTGGTGCGAGAAGGCGGTCGACAGTGTCCGAAACGTTCTTGGGTTTGAGTAGGAACCCGAAAGGTCAGGCTAATAAAGCTCTTGTCCCAGCGATCGTGTCTCCTTCTTCAAGACTACTTCCTGGGACTCGTCTCTTCGCTTCTATTCTAGACAATGACAGCTGGGGAGTGGCTTGGATCCCACCTGGCACGGACTAAGCCTGCGACTGGGCCTGACACCACACCCCGCAACGTTGGCATCTGTTATGGGTGCGCATTTCCCAGTACCCCTGTCAGAGCCTTAGACTTCCGTGTTAGTCCAGCGCATCAACCGCGTAGCCCGTTTTAGGGACATAACCCACGAACACGAAACAGGCTGAGACCACCTGTCCATGCGACACCAGACACAAAACACTCCTTTGCCTAGAACGAAACTACTGTTGTTGACGTCGGTCCAGCCTGGAAAGGCCAGCCGTTTCTCAAGAAAAGGTATCCCTCTAGGCTGCACACAGAATTACATATCGATCCAAATGTCGCGTACAGAAACCACAGTCAGTTTGGCGAAGTCGAGAGATCTGGGTTGATAATTTGAGAAATAAGGTGCGTTCACCCGGACAGATTTATTGGAATGCTAACGTCTCAGAGAGCCTGGTCGGCTCGCCATTGTCAAGGTGTAAGATGCAATTAATCGAACAGAAATAGAAGTGGCATGCTGCGCTGGTTGGCCGCATGCTGATCGATTTTTTGCGTCTTTCGCTGCCTCGGTCTTTTGGGAGATGTTTGGCGGGCCCTTTAGCCGCGTGCGCTGTGAGTCACCACCTCTTCGGGGGGGAGGGGTGATTGAGCCTCAGTCGGGGTTGATCGGTTTGGCAGCTATTTTTCCTCCTCTTCGAATGAACTCGTCGTCGGGCTGTGCCTGCGCGGCCTTCTCCAGTTTAGTGTGGTCGTCTGGTCCTGACCTCTACCAACATACTGGTGCAGGACTTGTAAGCCCCAGGAAGGTCCAGATGCTTATTGATGTTTTCACCTAATATCGCGCACATTTCCAAACCGTGCATCTCTTGATAAGTCCTGAGTCGTTGATGCATTAAACCTTGCCCACGTCATCATGTTATGTTGCCGCATAAAGTTGTCATGTTTTCTTTTTCTGAGGCTTTATGATATACGCCACCAGCAAGCAGATATGCAAGATAAGCGTAATTCCAAATGCATCATTTTCAGTGTAGATAGTCAAACGTCGACCGGGCCACTGTAGTCTAAGGAAATGAGTATGATGAACAGACTGCCAAAAGAACCATTTCCGAGGTCGATGACCAGATGCAGACAACTGCCCAACGGAGGTGAGCGGCAATAATGTAAGCATGGATTTCTGGGAGGGGGGGGGAGTTATATTTCAGCCTTGCCGGTCGAACGCCCTGCAGATCGGGGAAGCGAACGATGCTGGTAGAGGTCGATGCACCTTAATGCCCAACTAGGACGCTCTGGCGAAGCGGCCTTGGGTATGACTTGATTAATTCTCAGTCACCAAGTAGTCCTGGGTTGTGCGTGCATAGCTCGTACTCCCATTTATAGCAAAGTCTTTAAACGGTACGCCTGCGGCAGACAGAGAGCTAAAGACTGTGGTCAACCTCCATCTGTCCCGCCCATCCCACGCCTATTTTTTGGCACAGTGAAGCGCCTCGTGTCCCAAGCCCTATACTGAAGTTGCAACCAGGGGCTGATGGTGACATCAATCCATGACTCAGCAACGTCACCTGAAAGGACTGTCGGCATGTTCCCCACCAATCACGGTACTTTGGACGGGGACATCCCGGAAATTGGGCGGGGACTGACTCCATATAACGGGAGGGGACATAAAAGGTGGGGAAGGGGGAGGAGAAGGAGGAGGTGGAGGAGGGGGAGGAGGAGGAGGAGGAGGAGGAGGAGGAGGGGGAGGAGGAGGCAATCACCGCAGTGCCGTCCGACGTTAGGCAATGTACCGTGCCACCTAGTTCCTTGTTGAAGGCATTCCAGACGTTTTCGCCTTGAAATTTAAAAAAACCGACGCCTGAGGCCCGAGCGAACTGGTCGTGTGCAAGAACATACATAATTAGGCAATTACGAACTTTTAGGTTTTTACTGACTCCTATCGTCTTTGTCTATTCCGCTAATTTATTCCTAACGGCAAGGTCATTGATACTTTTTAGTACGTCGGGAAATCTCAGATGTCTATCCAGCGAACTATGTCTACTAGGGAAAAAAAACTTGATAGAAGCAGAACTGGTGGGGAATTTGGAACAAGGGTTAGAGCCGCTACCAGAAAGAGGACCGTTTTTTGGCAGAAGCGAGGGGGTTTCCGTTTTTTTCGCGTATGCCTGTGCCGAGGGCGATGCCGTTGTAGTAGTGGAGTCTGGGTGATGCGTGACATTCACCAAGAGAGATATTAATTATCCAACAGTATATATTGTTTATTTCACTGAGTTAAATAGAGATTCTAAATGATCATCGCTCCTGGCCTGTTCTAAACCTAATTCCAAGCCTCAGGGGAATAGCTTTCAACTTTGATCGATCTCAACTACCAAATCACCCGAGATTAAGACGTGACTGACTGATGACCCCAAATGAGCTAGAACACCCATCCAAATTTCTGTAATTTTTGCTATGAACACTTCTCAGGCGTAGTTCTAGAAGTTAATATATTACCTTAACGTCCACTCAAAAGAAGGAAACTTTATGGCCCAAAAAAGCCATAAGGGGTAACCATAAATGGACCGGCCGTGCAGACACGACCACTGACACACGCCCGTGCCGCGGGAAGTTTAACTTCAAAACTGACTAAAATAAAACCCCACTGGACGATGGCAACTGACATTTCAAATGCTTTCGCTCTCCGAGAGTGAAACCGTCAGGTGGCTATCCGTTTTTTGCGTTTGCCTCGCACAGGCTTCGCTGCAGGGAATCGTCAACAACCCAGTTTTTTTGCAAAAAATGCCCCCTTTGCATGTGATTTCGCCCAGGTTACTTGTTTTACTGCGTGCGTTGGCTGGCCGGAGCACTTACATATGAATAAAAATTGAAGCTTCGGAGACACCAGCCTCCCCACATAAACATCGCATATGTCGCCTCGCCTTAGTCCTCCCGGCAAACGGCTGTCGAGTCAACCCCAGAATGCTATCGTTTCAACATGGATCGATATAAGGGGGGAGGGGGCTGGTTTTATCATAAAATCCACGCACTCCGCCAGGTGTTAATCCTTGTGCAGCAGTGACAGTCGCCCAGCCTGTAGAAAGGGAGACGTACATTCGTGTACACAGGTGAGCATGACGAAAGATCCGAAATTAGTACCGTAATATCAAATTTACACTGGAAAATTCACACTGGAAATCCACACTGCACTAAGCTGCCTCCGGTCAGATGTAGTTATGTAGCCCCACCTGAAGTTAACAAACCCCAGCCATCAGTAATACGGGATCGGTGATAAAAGGGGTTTTTACAGATGGGGCCGGAGATCGCACAGGCGACGAGCTCAAGTAGTTGTATGCAAAAGAAAAGCTATTGGGAATGCACGGTTGTACTTTGAGGGGTTGAGAAATAGTTGCCCTAACCCCTTACCCTAGCATCTAACTCTAGCCCTTTATCATAACCCCTAGCCCCGACCCCAACAGTATTGTATCCGATACAAGCGAAGATGCGAGTTCCAGGAACTAGTTGATCAGAAGGAGAAGCGATCGCTGGAACAAGGCCTTTATTCGCCTGACGTTTCGGATTCTCACTTGAATCCATCATCAGAATCCATCATCATCTGCTACTGTCTCTGATAATGAATTCAAGTGAGAATCCGAAACGTTAGGCGAATAAAGATCTTGTTCCAGCGATCGCTCCTCCTTCTGATCAGTATTGTATTCATCTTACCCTGCCTTTCCTGGACGTCCTTTTGGTTAGACAAGAACATGGTACAATCTGCCGACCGGTTTTTCTCAAGAATATGCACAAAGGCCGAGAGTTGATTGAAGCCTGGCTCTTGAATGATCGATTTATCGATCTAGCGCCGCCTGCGCAGTCATTTCCAGTCCTGCCTCATCAGCCGATGATTGGCCAGCACCCTCCTCCCATAACTGTCGCTCGTTCTGTTGCCGCTAGTATCTCTGACAATGGACTCCTACAGGAGTTTGTAAGCTCAGAACGATAAACAAACCTTTCCGGTGCTCGGCTAGTTTTCTTTACTTAAAGGCAAGTATTTAAGTTTCATGAAATGTGTACCAATACAACGGAAGAATAACTTCGACAACAGTCTCTTCCAAAGAACGAGAAGCATTTACTCTATTAAAGCACTTGACGCAGAAATTGCCTGTCTTTAAGCAACCTTGCTTAAGCGTAGCTGCCCAGCATGTTTCGTCCAGAAAGCACAGCGGCACCTTGCGGGCAAATCTGATGAAACAGACCGTTCTGAAACAGCCCCTTATAATAAACTTACCCTTTAAACGTGAAAATATTTCAAATACAATCAAGCGACGTCTATGATGCAGGTCTGAAAGTACTTACAATGCAGTCAAACTCATGTTCAGCAGTCCTACCAGGGCAATTCCAATTTTAAGGACAAACAGTGATTTGCCGGTACATGCCAACTCGAATTTTATTTATGAATTTACATTCACCGGTGGACCTACCTAAAGGCAACTGGCAGCCAGGTCATTTGAGAATTTAACCATTGACAAGAGAATCATAGTGGTAATTATTTACACGGGATACGGCCGAAAGCCTGCTGAGGTCGCGAGAAGGTCCACTTCCGAACTTTTTTCTGGGTCGTTCAGCGGCAACGAAGTTTGCAGCGTGATCCAAAAAAGTTGACAACAGACACTGTTCAGAATTTAGCGCGGGGTGGCAGATTATGCATCTCAGCTGGCAGTGTGAATTGTCATGATGTTATGCTTTTAAATACACTGCTTTTTAATCTCCTGTAGAAACCGTACTCGGTAAAAATGACTACTCAAATAGCATCCATTTTCCCCATTTATTTTCGATGGTCTTGCAAATTCAAATATATTTTTATAGAAACTACGAATAAAAATATGCTTTATTTCAGTCGTTTAATTGAGAATCACGCCATCTTTCTATTTTATACTCGAAAAAGGAGTCTAATTAGGTTTTAAAAAGTTTCTAAATATGAGATTTTTTAAGACCACGCAATGTCCATTCACATAGCACCGTACCTGGCCGTTTACCAGAGCTCCTAATGAAATGAGCAACATAGTCCGCATTTATTGCAAAATTTCATGGACTCTGTATGATATCTTTTTAATGGCAAATAAAAATATGTAATTTTCTTTGCGCGGAACGCATGCACCTTGTAGACTGAAATCGCTAAGCGCTAATGCAACGAATGAGCAGGCTCCAAATTATTCGGCAATCGGAAAACTTTTTAAGGCCTAGTTATACTCCTTCCTTGGGTATAAAATATAAAGGTGACCTAATTCTCTATTAATTGACTGAAGAAGCATATTTTTGTCTATGGTTTTTATAAGATATGTTTAAATTTGCAAGACCACCGAAAAACAATGGGAAAAATGCATGCTACTTAGGTAGTCATTTTTACCGAGTACGGTTTCTATAGGAGATTGAAAAGCAGTCTATTCAAAATCTGACATCCTGTTATAAGAGTATGCCGCGCCCAAGTAGTCCTTCCTAATCGAAAACGCATTTCAAAATTTCAGCCAACATTTCATGAGATCGGTCACTCACTGTAGTTAAAGGCAACTAGCAGCCACGTGATTTAAGAAATCATAGTGGTAATTATTTACACGAGATACGGTCGAAAGCCTGCTGAGGTCGCGAGGAGGTTCATTTCCGAACTTTTTTCTAGGTCAGTCAGTGACAACGAGGTTCGAAGCGTGATCCAAAAAAGTCGACAGCAGGCAACGTTCAGGATTTGCCTAGGGGTGGCAGATCATGCACCTCAACTGACAGTGTAAGTGCTCATGCAGAAACGCACAACAGTCCGCAAGGGGGCCTTCGGCAGTTTTCTTGATAGCGTTACACCAACAGTCTCGTCCGCAGAATACAAAAGAAAGACCTTTCTCGGGCATATCGTCCAACTGTGGGGGATTCCGTACAATGATGTAGGCAGACGAGTGGAATTCTATCTGTGGGCCAGGGTCAGGGACCCAACTTCACAGGGGAGTTCACATTCTGTCTACATAAAATGATTAAGTGGCCTCATATTTGGGGTAACCAACTACTCCTTATTTTATTTTTTAAGGTTCATTATACGAAAAAAAACGGAAATTCGCCTAAAATCGTGCAAAAATTTCAGTTCATGTCAGCAGACCAATTTTCAACATTTTTGAAGAGTAATTCGTCAAGTAGCTGCACTCACGAATAAACTCCCCAGTTACCAGCATACATAAATATCTGTAAATCAGGAGGTACCGACAGAGACAAGGGAGACTGGAATGGCCATTTCTGGCTTATTAGCCGTCGCAAGCCAGTCATACCCAACCCCGAAGTCTGGAACACCTGGAGCTTAAACTCGCGACTTGTTAGTTAGAAGTCCAACGCCTCTAACCACTGAGCCAGGGGCTCGTAGTCTTGTCGATTGCGATCGGGAATGTACAATGGTAAGGAGGCGCACGCCGATCGTTCCTACGGCACTCACCCGCCCCGTTGTGCCTTACGGGCTCTCTCTCTCTCTCGACCCCATTCAGCAGCCGCACAGCGGCGCATGATATAGGTAATAACCTTTTGCCTATATCATGCGCCGCTGTGTGGCTGCTGGTTGGGCTCGAGAGAAAGCCCGTAAGACAGAACGGGACGAGTGAGTTCCGTAAAAGCGATCGGTGAGCCATTTCTGGCATATTAGTCGTCACCAGTCAGCCATACGAACCCCGAGGCGACCGCACCTGACTTTTTGACTATGTCCGAACTGATCCGATCCTGTTACGCAACAGCTGGTACGCGGGATGCAGGTCTATAGTTCGGTCGAATGTTCCAGTGGAGGACCGACTTTCAAGTACCACTCTGGCCAACTTATCATTGGCTCGGCCGACTACCCTCAGCTTCTCAAAGGCGAAGTTATGGTTCGGCCATTGTATGCGGCCGTATACCAAAGATA